CCATCGTCTGATGTTATAAAATTACAAGACATTTCGAGGATTGGATCTGACCTCGTTTTCGGGTGTGGCGAAGAAGGGCACCTACTCTGTGGGGCCCGTTAGAATCTCAATCACTGGGCAACACCTGAAGACGAGGGCAGATCCAGTCCTCGAAAAGTTGTGTAATTTTATAACATCAGACGATGGGCAAGGTCCAGAACGCAACCATCCAGATTACACCTTCAGAGCTTCACTAGTTTGTTAACCTAGAAAGAAGGTTACATAAATATGGTTCACGGGCAGAATCAGCAGCAGATAGAACAACTTCCCACTCTAAACTGTAGGCCTATCTGTCGAGTTAGAATATAGGAAAATAACAGGCCTATGTATATCACACTTTTGAACATAAGCCGTAAGAGTAATTTCTAAATTGTTGCACACTACATAGCCCAGCATTAAAATGTCGCCACTAACTAGCGTAAACTATGTCCTGACCCTACTAAAGAACGAATGACGTGTACCTGTTCTTGTTAAGGCTTTTATGATGTCGACTACACTTTCTTTGATGACCAGGGGAACTGACAGTAAACTTCAGATAAGGTAGCTATACCAGGAACTCAATCCATGGACCTCCCAAATGGAAGCCTTTTCGCTTGTTCTGGAGTCGAGGTTATGTGTTTTTGGCCAAGGTGCTGCGATGTGTTACTCAAGAATGTGTAATAATAACAAGCAAAAATTACACTCGCAAGGATATTAAGAGCAAATTAATTTCAGGTAATTGTTTCCAACTTTTACTTCGGAATGTTTTATCTTGTTCTTTTCCTATCTCTAACCTAACAAGTAAAATAATTTTGTCCGAAGTTTTGTATTGTTGTGAAAACTGGTCTGTCACTGTAACAGGAGAACGTCAATTGATAACTTTTGAATTTGTGAGTGCTTCCAATGTTTGGTATTAAATTGTTAAATTCTTGACCTTTGAAAATTGTCTTGGTTCCCACAAATTTGTAAAATATTTATGATATTTTCTTTAAATTAACATTGCAAGTTCCGCAGTAATGGCAAAACGTGTGGTATTGTTTTTAAGATTGTTCTTTTTAGTTAAATAATTGGGTGACTTAAGTATGAGACAGGCTGATATTTAGGCTAACCCTTAGTGAGAGAGTAAGAATAAAAATAATGTCTATTTCTGTCAAAAGCTGAAGAGAAAAGATGGCTAAAGTACATAGTTATGTTCGTTTCATTTGAAGGATAATATTAAACATAGATCTTAAATAAAGAGAGTGTTAAATTTTGGTCTGGATTCAACTAGCATAGGACAAGGTTCAGCTCCTCTTCGATGTAACAAAAGCGATGCAGTTGCGTGAGCTGGGATGCTAAGATGCAGCGTTGTTATGCAATTATGCTATCGAAATAGGCTGCAAGAATAATGAATTCTTCTCGGGCTATCAACCTCGTCAGGTGGTTGAAAGGCGAAGACACCAACGTTCCGAGAACCATCCTCGTCCTCGTCCTCAGAGAACTGAAGTGGTCCGGGATCTGCAACCACATCAGCCCGATAAGAATTCATTATGCTTCTTCGCAGTGAAAGCTTCGTGTCGAACAGGCTACAGTCTCAGAGCCTTGCAGAAATCGTTGGGTTGCGGGTTAAATAAAGTAATTACACACTTGGTATTTTACAGCAACATTTAATGCATTATTTTCACTTGTTTCACTTTCTCATGTAATATATTTTATGATAATATACAATAAATACAGACCATTATATATTTTTCAACAGCACGCCATTGTGCATGGTGACAATTCAGTGAACATACAAGCTACTCCTTTTTTCATATTTTAGTATAAATTATAGGATGGAACAAACGTAAAAGCCTAGATAGATGTTTCCATTTCGTGAATAGCTTTCTATTTCCTCACTAGGGTCTGACCTTCATGTTTTTTTAAATGTAACTCAAGTCTGCACTCAGCGTGAAATGTTTACTTTATGTGGATATCCTGAATTTCTTATTTAATAAACTAAAGTATACAGTAAATTTACCTGTTTCATATAGACGCGAAACTTGGTTTCTCACTGAGGAAAGAACATAGATTGAAGATGTTTGAAAATACTTATTATTTTCATGTTGTGTGCAGGGTTGGGGATTTTGTTTCTATTCAACAAAGCCAAAATTTTGCCCTGCTGTATCAGTTTCAAGAAGTTATTGTATAATATTTTAAGTCGACGGATTGTGTATTAATAATGCATATCCTGCAATAATATATTCTCTGTGTTTCAGTACAGTCCACAGTTTCGTGTATTCACATCACATAATTAGGAAAGCATGAATTTTTAATTATTATAATGGAAAGTCGTGGTCTAGTAGTTAGTTCTCCTGCTTCGTATTTGGAATATCCCGGGTTAAAATCTCGGTCCGAAAATTGGCTATCCTTACTGAGATTTTCGGATTCGCCTTAGATTCTCCAGGCATATGATGTGAAAGTGCCCTCAAATGGTCTTTGACAGCTTTCTTTCATATTCTTTCCAATTATTTATCGTCTTATCATTAGACGCTACGCAGTCTATAAATTGTTGACAGCGTTGTTAAATGAATCACAAATTACTTATTATAATCCGAATAATTTGAAGTTTACACCAGACAAGAGACTAACCAATGGTGCTGACGAGTATCCTGATTGCACTTTTCTCGTGTTTTTTGTAAGAGGCTACTGATAACAGCAACAAACACTGGTTAAATTTTATTTTATTTCGTACGTGTTTGTTCTTGCCTCTACATTAAATGAAACGCAGATAAAATGTTATTATTTTAAAAATTCTTTATACAAAATATTTATTGGCATAAAATACCAAATTTTTTTCGTACGTGTCCAGTCTGGCTCCCTTCAAATGAAACCTAAAAAACATATAAGCCATTATTTAGTGCAGTTTATGTAGTGTGATTTGTTTTGAAGCAATATATTTGAGTATAAGACAATAGATTTGTATCTGTAGACGTAGTCCATATGGAGTACACTGCTGTTGTGTCTATGAGTGCAGACTTGGTTTATATAACAAGCTGATAGTAGGAAGTGTTAAGAATGTGCACACATACGTGAAACAAGACGAAAATAATTCTGAAACAACGATACCAAGGACAGAAAATAATTTTGATGTCGGAAATGATATGTTTTATGCCCTCATATTGTATGTAGGTACATTTCAAATTATCATCTTACTAATCTAATGTTGTCAGACCACCTGTGAAATGTACGTATGGGCCTATCGACTACTCGAAGAATAAATGTTAGGCCTCTACTTAATATAACTTCTCACACATTAACTGCGTTTAAATCCAAATGCCGGGTACATCATTGTACACATATATTTACAAAATCAGACGTTTTATATGATTACAACATTCACAACGACATGCAAATTAAAAGGTAAAAGCTACTCTGGATTAACAGTTCCACTTATAAATGAACTCCATCTATACTCTTCGCAGTGATTTATACATAGTCACAAACTATTAAATTAGAATATCTTTCTTATTTAAGGAATAAATTACCCGATTTCTTAAATATTTTACAACTAATTTGAATACGTTTTACTAATTATTAAAATTTATTTTAATAATTAGATTAAAATAGTCTGTTCGATGTATTTTTGCCTTTGATTAGTTGAAGAGAAACTTCATCATCCAGCAATAATAAAGGTCTCTGCTATGTTTTGAAGTAATTATCTGTGATCTCCCTGGGACTTTATCGTGCCAGATATGGCAGTAAAGCTATGTACAATTACAACATTGCGTTCTGTAAACGTTGACAAATTAGCCATGGTCGATATCTCTCATAACATTGCAATGTCTAAAAATTTGACAAACGAGAAGTAACCCACATGAGTGGTACAACAATGATACAAAAATGCAGTAGATTTTTCTCATTTTCTGCAACATTTTGTACTTGAGGCTGCGATGATGCCCTATCAAGATATCAAGACTTCAGCTATCTCAGTTACACCATTTGAGTGTGAAATAACAACAAAAATATATTTAGAGCTTCGTAGTCACACGGGCCAAACGCTTCTTAGTAGTGAACTGGATGCAGTGGGTATAAGAAAGCGCTTCACGGGTTAGCCCACTTCACTCGTAAGTCAATAACCAGTATAACTGAGTCGTCTTAAGCCATTAATGACATTGACAGTTTATTCAACTAATGCTCATATATAATTTGTCACGTGCTTTAGAACTGAGGATGTAAACGTCGGCCAAATTGGTGACGAAACGATTAAGTGTAATAAGGAATAAATTAGATCAAGCGACGATATTATGATGCTGATACCGATATTATTGGTCCTATGTTATAGAGGATTTTAGGAATTTGAGGTGTAAATAAATCCTGCAGGCTTGTATCGTCTGTTACAGAAATTAAATATATGCAGTCATTCCTCATTATACGCACTCTTTATTTACATGTCTTAGGTTTGAAGCGATTGGGGAATACGAACCACTTTTTAATTTAAGCCTACATTATCTTAATACTTATTTGAACGTAGTTATGTAGTCAGTTGCATGTATCATGGCGAGTGATGTAGGTAAGATCTTTGAAAATGTTGACATCAGATATAAATATATGACGAGCGCAATACATGTCTGCAAATGTTTTTCATTACGCGGTGGTTGTCAGAAATGCATGTAGGCCTACTACTGATAAATGACGGCATTGCTGTTCCAATGTACTTTCGCCGTATGTTGCAGCAATTAAGTAAAATTTGTTTAATTCATGCTAACAGTATATTTCTAGTAATCTTCAACAAACGATTTAATTGAAGTTGAGGTTGGATTTCAGGAACACAGGTTTCCTATCACATTTTATCCAAAGGGTATTGTGTTTATACATAAGAAACATAAATTCATTGATCACTTATATGCATTAAGTTGTGATCTTTAAACAAGAAAATTCAAATGAATTTCATCTCAAACTAAAATAGTAAATCCACTTTAATGTGAATATTCCTAAAATAGTAAATCCACTTTAATGTGACATGTTTTTCGGAATATTTCATATTCCATAGAACTGAGAACCCGTTGTTTTAATTCATGCATGGACCCATATTACTTCGCGTTTTGTTCGCTGTTAGAAAGATATAAATTAATTCCAAAATACCGATTTATCAGGATGATTTAATTTGGTCTATTAGTGCATAATGTTCTTGATATTTCAATCCGCTCACAGAATTGGGAATATCAGATCTCCGCATAAATTCTTTTGTTGTGAATTATAAAGAGCAATCCTGTTTCTGATCAGACGTAGTTACTCTCGAGAGAGACAGCTTGTTGTCGCTTATATTCTGAATAGAAGTTTATTCCACTCCAGGGGCATATCACCATGAGAACAACAGTCACGCAATTTATTTTTAAATGTTTAAATCCTACCAAAACATCAACTAGGTGTTTAATTTCTGTTTACATCTCGTTATTATTTCCAAATTTGTAAGGGAGCTAATCAGAATACATTCCTACGAAAGTTATTTGTTGCGAAAAATGCAGTGATTAGTTTACACACGTTAGTTGGTTTCACTTATCCATTTTAATTTAAATACTGCTTAAAAGATCACTTTTTGTCCTTGCGCTCAGACATGGCGCTGTTGCCAAACCAAAATAAGCGTCGTTAGGTATATTCGGCTTCCACTTCATTCCTCTAGAGTTCTTGGTAAAATTTGCCACAAGCGGTGTGAAGCATTACATTAGACATTGACTTCCGATTTTTCTAAGTTTAAAACAACTGTTCATCCATCACAAACGTCAGTTAATTCAGGTTCATAAATCGAAGCCAAGTCTAGGAAAGATAATTTTATTTCATATGCTTCGGCCTTCGAAATAAAATTTTAATAGTTATATCATTTTTCTGACACTACCGCCAATGTTGGTACACATTTATCGTCAGATACCATTACAGAAGGTCCAGAGGATTTTTTCTTTAGGATACCGAGGTCCTGTACGTTTTCTAGGAAGGACTTGTGAGCTGTGAGTATCTTGGTTGACTCTACATCCTTTTTCAGCTCCTCCATGTCGCGTTTCAGCTTAGCGCGTCTGTTCTGGAACCACGTGATGACCTGTGCGTTGCTGAGGCCTAGTTGAGCAGCGATTTCATCCCGGTCTGCAGGCGACAAATACTTCTGGTAGAGGAATCGCTTCTCTAGCTCGAAGATCTGGTGGTTGGTGAACGCTGTGCGAGACTTTCGCTTCTTCTTGGCTTGCTGACGGTTGTTGAAGAGGTTCAGGTGATTCGCTTGTCCATCTGCAACACACGTGAACGCCAGTCCTCAGCGAAATGATAAAATACAATAAAGTTGGCTTAACAACTGTATCTAACATTTTGTAAAGACACGATTTATTATCAAACTTTCGGTTCAGACGTCAAATTAAAAGGAAGTAGCGGAATATATTATGTTCCCTGAACTTAAAAATCGTTAATCTACTTCTGTCTCTTAAAAAGTGGTTATTCGCTTCCTAAATATCTTATAAATATTTAATTAATTTTAGCCATTTACTGGGCTAGTTGCTATCAATATCGCTCAGTATTTCTGTTAGGGATTATTCTATGCATGATGTTTCATTTAGTTACCTCGAACTTTTGCGAGTATTAACGTATTAAATTTCTTAGTCTGTGGTTGGAAATGTATTTAGGCAACTCCTACCCAACCATAGAATTAATTTAAATGTTAAATTTGACCAGGTTAAAAATTAAGAAAAAGTGAAAGTTTCTTAAGGATTGTGTCTGAATCATTTCAGTGATCTGAGAAAACACAATGTGTCTGTTCGAAATAAGAAGTCGAGCAAGTGAGACTTGCAACCCAAGCTTTCCCTTGAAACTTCCAGTCTAGAATTAAATCCCAATAGTTCTGGAGGGAAGAAAGTAGCCGGGCTGCTGGTCGGCCAGCTTCACAGATCTCATGAAAGGGAAGCCGACAGCCACTATTAGTCACACCTGACAGATGAACGAGGAGAGAGAGACTACAGTCAGTGGCAAAACAGCTCCGACAGCCTGAGTGTGTGAAACAGACATCAGGACTAGACTCCAAGATTTCCACTGTCCTGTTTTGTTAGTTAGCAGCACACAAATCATAGAGCAAAAATTATTATTACGGCAATAAAAATAAGAAAGATAAATTAAAATAAAGTTTATCTTGTGCTTCATCAACTGATATGAATGGGCGACTTCGTGTTCATGCAGCTTGACCCTCAAGGGAGTGAGCCCCATACCGACTAAACAGGGACCTGGATTGGCCCCATAGCCATTGTGGACGCACCGACGAAGAAAACGCAATCCTTGTTTTGTCTGATCCACATTTAGCCCCAATATTGACTGAAATATGACGAAACTAATGTTGGCTTTTGGGAGACGTGGGACTATAAGCCTACATTGCATTGTTTACTCTAGACTATGATGACTTGAAGCAGAAAATGTCACCGTTACTTAGCAGTCAAGATAATATGCCACTTGCTTCGCATTCTAGCCTAAATATATCAATAGTCTGTTCAAAAGTCGTCTTCGCTTTCTTCATCCCGTCTTTTGCCATGTTTTGTAGTCTGGCAAATCTGTATCTTTGCATCTTGTTAACATGATCAGTCGAAATGCTTTTATATTTTGAAATGTTGTCCAATATAGGATCTGTTTTTAGTTCTTTCTGTACGTCTTTGCCTTTTTCATAGCTCATTCCAATGCACTTTGCTGATTCTAAGCCCCTTAACAGTGAGCGACATGTGAGTTTGTGGATATTGTTAATAAAGGTAGCCAAGAACAGACTGGTAGTATCACTCTTACCTTGTTTTAATTAAACATTTTAAAACTGGGCTAGATAATTTTTATTCAGAAATGTTATAAGTGCTAACTTTCAAATTGATTTAGTTCTCTTTCTCTGTCATGCACTATTTTGGCAGAAATTAATACTTGCTAAATTAATTGACTCAAAGCGGCAAGTGTTTTGTTAATTAATACATTACTTTCCGTTATGTTCAGGGCTTGTTTGAAACAATGAATGTAACATAAGTTGTGCATTATTCAGATGATAGAAGCCGCGCGATGACTGGGTCATAGTGGCAATATATTCCTCAATTTATTCAAATAAGGACAGACGTGAAAACAGTTTAGGTTGTCAGTTTGGATGAGTTGTTAGGCATTCATGAGACTTTGTACGAACATCATGCCACTGTAGGTCACCCTACATCTAATTTTCTGCTTTCAGTTAATACGTCTTGAATTTCTGAGCAATAATAGATCTTCGATAAATAAGTCAAAGCAGATTTATTTTTTAACTGCCGAACGCCGGTTAATGTTTGCGTAAGCTGACAGGTGGGAATTAATTAGGACACAGAAATTAATTGCGGAGTTGTGTTCTAATTTCTGACTCTGCGTCCGTGTAGGCTGAAGCATTCAACGAACGTCATAAATTCTTATCAGAAATTTTGTTTAGCTACACTTGTTTTGTTCAAGACCATACTTTCAAGGCTATGCGTGTTTAAACACCTCTTTAAAATGTCTGGATAGATAAGAGAATTAAACAACGAAGTTTTCTCTAAGACATTGAGCAAGTTTTTATCAGTAGCACAACTGAACTGTAATTTCCCGTAAATTTATTAGATTTTACTTAACTACCTTAAAACACATTGGCATTAAATGCTGCAGAATCTACATAAGAAGAAGAAACAAATCTAAATTTAGTCAAGCGGGATCAAATATTCAATTGTTATTAACCATCCTCTTCATTATCTTGGAATTTGTTGTTGTTGGTACGTAAATTTGTGTACCGTCATTTGTACGGCTAGGACTGTCAACATTTTTTGTTCAGCGTTACCAAATTGTAGCATATTACAAAAGTGACGCGTTCTTACAATGTTTTGAGGACTTCCATCAGAAGAAAGAAACAAGTTTGTAGGGCTCATCATTCATGTCAAAGAGGAGCGGAGCAGAGAGCATTTACAAGCACTCTGTGTTTCTTTTGTTTAAAATTTGTTATAATAAAAGAGAAGTAAATAGTATAAAATACCGCGAGTGCACAAGGCTTTTTAAGGAGAAATGAAACAAGGAACAACAGAAATAAACAACACAAACAAAGTACCGGATGCTTTAAAAGAAAAGAACGCGAGAGTTTGTTGGAGGAAAGTGGGGGCAGGTAGGCAATTAAAGTTTTTATACTGCAGAATTCCACTGATCGTATATCTACTGCAGTATGTTGCATTTATGATGTAAATATAATCGATTATCCAGTTGTTCCAGGGTAAAAAGAAAACATTATGCAGACGCGTATTTTTAGTTTCGAAAGATATTTTAACAAGTAAAAGGCATCGACTAAAAATACTATAAATATCGTGAAGCACATATCTGTTTTAAAAGCTGATTGTCGTTCAGCTAGTTAATACATTCTCCACCTTTAATGGATCTCTGTGGTCTATTATCATCTCCACAAGACCCTTCTTACTTAAGTCAAATAGAATTTCTGTTATTTTTACTTTATTTGTTTACGTCGTCACTCAGGAAATGAACATGATTGTTATGGAGCAGAAGAAGATCATTTTAAAATTCTTAATGGAGACTGGAACACGAAAGTTTCTTCTCGCCTGTGTACTTTGTCAATTGTATCAGGGTACTGCAGTAAGATGAAATATTTGGTTTGTTTCAAATTATGAAGACATTTATTAGTGGAAAGTGTTGTTTCATACAAATAATTGTTCTTTCGGAATCTGTCCATCGTCCGACGTTTCCGAAACTGGATTCTGCTTCCGTCTTCAGGCACACTGGTTGAGCTAACTTTCTATTGTTCTTATTTGCCGTAAATATTCAACATTTCAACATATAAATTTCGAAGGACACATTATTACTGTTCTCTGGTTAAAATAATTCTCACATGCAAAGTGTTGTTACCGGACACTTCGTTAAATGATGCTAGGACCGCATTCTTTCATAAGTTCGCTTGTAATCACAGGAAGTTAAAACGTATCAAGACGGATAGTTACTTACTGACGTGATATTCATACAGAGCATTGCGAAGAACAGACCATTAATTTCTGTAATATTGATCTATATAGACTTATATTGAGTCAAATGACGGACAGATGGACAGAAACTCAGCTATAACAGGACTCCGAAGAGGAAAGTAGAGATTACAATAATAATGAGCTGTTCACCTTACATTTCTCATGTGTACGGACTGAAACCGAAAATATCCGGCAACAGTCAACCTGTAGGTACAGTTTAAATGTAGGCTATTAAAACTGAAAAGTACTAATTTCCTTGAAACAAATAAAGCCACTACACGCCTAAATCATGTGTCAGGACGAGTTGCGGTCCAAAAGACAGGGGAAACAGAAAACGCCTGCTAGAGCAGCCTATTATCCGATCAGGATCCGCTGGGCGAGAGGTCTCTATTTAATAACCCACACAACTGAAACAATTGACGTATCATGGAACCAATGAGCACGTTGCGCGCCATTACGACCTCGCAATACAGTTGCCTTAGCAACGCTGGAACGACGCTTATTGGTTGAGCTTCGACACGCCTCGAAAGTCATTGCGTTTTGTGTCCATAATAATTAGTTTTGATACAAGTGTCAAGTCTGCAGTTTACATTATGAAGTTCACATGCAGCGCGCGCCAACCGGTAGGTTTTCTAAGCTGTGACGTCGAGACGTTAGACTGAGTGATTGTGTAAGTAGGTTGCAGGTCCAACGAATTGCTAATATATCCAAATGGATTTCAATAACCTCCTCTTTCAAGTTTATCTGTTCGTATTCTTACGAGGGGAAAAATGTGACTTCGTCGTTTCGATCTGTCTGTTCGTTCCTGTATTTCTGCTGACTTTAAGCATTAATATGGCTGTCTTCTGGGTGTAGTCTGGTATACCGACGTTTCAGAGGTACTTGCTGCTTCCATTATCAGCGCGATAGGAGCAAGACAGACTTCTTCATACTCGCCACCACGAGGTCCTCAGATCTGAACGCTATACAGCTTACTTAGCTCCATACGGTTGTCAGCTTGAACTTAGTTGTAGTAATGTAAGTGCCTTAAAATTTTGTGTGGTGAGAAATTCATGCTTACATCTTGGTATAGAACAAAGCATTTAAAGAAAACTCTTGATTGTTCATGATATTGCGATAATCCCTGTTCTAATCCTGATATTTTTACAATTTTCCTCATTCATCACTGTTATGTAGTAAAAATTATAGTTGGAGAGAATAGAACGTTTTCCTAAGCCTCTGTTATTGCACCCTGACAACAAGTACGATGGTTAATACTAAGACAAACAAATAAACCACTAAACATGAAGCTCGTGTAAGGTTGGTGACTGACCAAAATTATGGCTTTAGTGCAGGAACTTATACAAAAATTTTACGAAAATCTGGTAAATAGTTTCTCAGAAGGAACACGCGAATATGCAAATATGATCGGAATGTTTTTAATTTACTTTGAACTTTCAATTCAGACAACACGTAAAATACGTGTTAAATGGCTTTGTAACATACATATAAAGAAATATTTGAACTAATAATGCTCTGCTTTGAGCAGTGTTTGAATCTGACATGAAAAAGAGTTGTTCCTTATGTACAGCTGTTGAGTCGCGGATACTTCAGCGAGGGATTCTGCACTGTATGTGCCTTCTCTCCCTCCAGTGCTTCGTCATATATCGGTGAGAAAATGAAAAAGAAAGTGGGAGAGAGAATTGTTGTAACTACGGTTAATAGAGATGTGGCTTTTATCTACACAAAATAGTCGACGAAGAACTGGAGAGGGAAAGCTTTACCCCCTCAAAGGCTTGTACACGAAGTTCAATGTTTCCTTGATTGGATGATGAAGAAGGAACAGCAGGAGCTGCAGTACGAAGGCTGCGTTCCAATTTGCCTTCTTGGACTCTCTACGAGTTGCCGTATTTGACAGTATTTTAGAAACGTTCTCATTGTCAGAAGCCGGTTCACCTTTATCTTACGACAGTTTTTATGCTTTGTATATACAGAGTGCTTGAAATAAAGGCAAAATAAGGCATGCATATATAGGCCTGTATTTTATCACCGAAAGCAATGAACGTAATTATATGTAATTTTGTACTGAGACTCCGTATCAGAAGATTGGGAGTTTTAATTTTGGTTCTTGTCGTTCAAAATACCACGTATGAGAAAATAAAAAATAGCATTTTGGTTTACACGCATGAAGGAAATTGACCACTTGTAGTACGCATATTTGTCGGCGGAAGGATGACGTTAAATTGTGCATTAAATAAATGAGATGCGATTGTTTATGCTGGATTCATCTGCTTAGGGTCCAGTTTCAGGCTGTCATGAACGCTGCAATGAACCTATGAGGTAAGGTTTTCTCGGCCAGTTAGCGACTATCTAAGGAGTTTGTTGTTTAATCACAATTTTTGTATGAAATCTAAAGTAATATCATAACTATAATCAAGCGAAGTCTGTTTTATTCTTGCTAATGATTCTGCGGTCCAGTGGAGGGATTTTATGAGCACAGTAATGAACTTCTGCTACATAAAAATAGAATTCCTAGACTAACTAAAGGTCTATCAGCTTCTCAAGAACGACTCTGCTTCGTTTAGAAAGACTTTCTGTTAATATGTAAAGGAATGACGCTAGCACGTCTCAAACGTCTTGATATCTCTCAGATACATTGCTTATGTTTCTTAAAATTTGACTCTGATAAACTGTAACAGTTTTGATGGATAGTTCTTGTGCATAGCATCAGGGGCTAAGGTGATCATGTTTGAGAAAGGACTCAAATCGTTACGATTCGGGATAGTTTCATTTAAGTGTGGGACTATAAATGTCAGTTCAGAGCTAAAAACAACTGTCTCCTATTATCGTAGAAGGGGGGAACGCCAATATCCTCCACACATTTTAACTTCAATTAAGACAAGGATAATTGCTGAATGAATAAAATAATAAGAAAATATGCATGTTTTAAACTTCGTAGACCTTTTTTTTAAATTTATAAAATATGAGCACCTGGACGACATAAGGAAACCGTGCCCCAATGTCGTCCACCACCAATAACATCAGATGAGTTGCAGTTACAGTTTCGGAGGTTTCAGAACGTGAGAGATCTTTGTGACGCAGAAGATTCAAAATAAGTTTCTTCATTCAACAATTTATACTCTCCGGATATTTGGGCGGAAAATATGTATACAAGTTCTATTGATCTCTGCATTTACCTGACGGACTGAGGAAAACTACGATAGTCTGTTTCCCAACCCAGATAATGAACCTTTCGTCTCCCGAATACGAAACAAGTGATAAGCACACGGTCGCAACGTTTGGTTTGGTCATATTATAGCTGGTAGTATACACAGTATAACGTATAATAGACCTAGTTGAAGGTATGTTTATAAAAGCCTATTATAGTTGATGGCATAAAATGGGGTCGTATTATCTATCATTAATGGTGCGCATTTCAGATCGTATTATCTTTAATGGCATACATATGAGGCCGTATTATCGTTTATGGCATATAGATGAAGTATTATCGATCGTTCTGCGAATAATGCTTTTAGTGATTCACTCTGTCAACAATGGATTTGTTACATCGGCTTCAAAAGTACATCAATATTAATGGCGGATGAGAAATTCCGAAAGAAATTGGGAATTCTGTAATCAGTATTGGAATTCGCTTTTCGACTCTTGTTTAGTCCTTGGCTATGTAACGGAAAATGTTACTTTCATATTGAATGGTGTAAAAATTAAACTGCGGGCAAGTTTTGCTTATTGCTTAGTTTATATTTATACGTCATATTTATTAAATTATGTTTGGGCATTTCAGTACGATAAAAGTAGGTAAATATTACTTCATAACAACGCCTCTTTGGAAACCACAGTTTCTAACTGCTGACTCCGCAAATAAGAAAACATCTCAAACGTAGCATATACAGAGCATAGCATGTATTTCTGAGTCTTTCGGGAAAATTCCTAACTAAAACTTTAACTTTCTTTTATTAAAGTGTAAACGTTTGACTACATGGGTCTCTAACT